TCCCGACGAGGTCGACGCCAAGCTGGTGAAACGACGAGCCACTACGTACGTGATCATGGGGGACACACTTTACAAGAGGTCCTACAATGACGCCTTGCTGCGCTGCCTATACCCAGACGAGGCCAGGTCAGTCGTGGGGGAAATCCACGAGGGACCTGCTTTACCCACCAGGGGGCCTTCGCCATGTCCCAAAGGGCTATCTTACAGGGGTACTTTTGTCCCAAAATGGCCAAGGAGTGCACCGACTACGCCAGAAGTTGCGAGACCTGCTAGCACTTCCAAGTCACCCCCGACCGACCAGCCACGAGCTACACCCCCATCAGCTCGATCATCCCCTTCTCCGGGTGGGGAGTGGACCTAGTAGGAGCTCTACCCATGGGGTCGGGAAAAAGGAAGTACCTCATAATTGTAGTGGACTACTTCACTAAGTGGGTAGAGGCGGAACCGCTGGAAACCATAAAAAGTGCCCATTGTAAGCACTTCGTGTACAAAAACATTTTGTGCCGTTTTGGGGTCCCGATGCAACTCATCACCGACAACAGACGCCAATTCGAGGGGCAAGAGATTGAGGGGTTCTGTGCAGACTGGCACATTACTCACAGCTGGGTGGCTGTGTGCTACCATCAACAAATTGGCAGGTGGAAAATGCCAACCGCACCATAGTGGGCGGCCTGAAAAAGAAACTGGAATCCGTGGGGAGGGGGGGGGGGTTGGTGGAGGAGCTCGACGCCATTCTTTGGGCCTATCCCACCACCCCTAGAGGGCCACTGGGAGACACCTTTTTCCTTGGTCTACGATTTCGAAGCCCGAGCTCCAGCGGAGGTGGTCATACCTTCCTGGCGAGAGGAGGACTACGACCCCGACATGAATGAGGATCACGATAGAATTGACCTCCACCTGATAGATGACAGGCGCGAAGCAGCTGCGATCCGAGCTGAAAACTACCAGAGGCAAACCAAAGGATACCATGATAGGCGGGTCTGACCTCGCTATTTTCAAGTGGGTGACTATGTGCTCAGGAGGAGGGAGGCGAACCAACCCCAGGACGGAGGAGAGTTTGCTCCCAATTGGGAGGGCCCATAAATTGTAGCAGCTGTTGTCCGCCCGGGCAGCTACAAGCTCAAGACCCCCAAAGGAAAAATGATAGCTAGGGTCTGGAACTCGTAACATCTGCTGAAGTTCTACCAGTAGACCCACCACGTAAAAGGTGGACCTTGGCATTGCTTTTCTATGAGGAGGACCATTCCCCTCCCCCAATAACGTCTTAGTGAACGACAATAAGTGGAATAAAGTTTCATGCTACGAAATACGTTGTTTGGAGGACCCTTGTTACGAAGTTGGTTCCCACTCATTTTTCCTCCCTTAAAAAAATCATGAAACAAGGGGGAACAAGTGCTCACACGAACCCTAAGGGGGCATGAGTCCGGCCTCGCGTACCAACCCCGACGGAGGACGCACTCTAAGGGGGCACGAGGGCCGACCTCGCGTACCTACCCCGACAGAAGAGCTCGTTAGCACGGTCCGAAAGGACTTGGCCCGAGCAGCTAATGCGCACCATAAGGGGGCACGAGGTCTAACCTCACGTACCAACCCTGACGGAGGAGCCCGGTGGCTTGGTCCGACAGGAATGGGCCCAAGCGGTTTGGCGCACCCTAAGGGGCACGAGGTCCGACCTCGCGTACCAACCCCGGCGGAAGAGCCTAGTGGCGTAGTCCGTAAGGACTTAGCTAGAGCGGCTGACGTACCTTAAGGGGGCACGAGGTCCGACCTCGCGTACTAACCCCGAAAGGAGAGCCCGATGACGTAGTCTCGTAGGACTATGTTGGGGAGGCTAGCACAAGGCCCAAAAAAAAAAAAGGAAGCCTAGCTCACCCCAGCACAACACCGAGGTGCACCATGGCGTCACCTCGGCACATTGCCGAGGTGCACCATGGTACCACCTCGGCAATGTGCCGAGGTCCACTGTGGTGGTGACACCTCGGCAGCGTGCCGAGGCTCGGAACCTCGACCGGTGTCGAGGTCTTGCACCTCGGCAAGACCCGAGGTGGAGCACCTCGGCGCTAGCCGGGGGGACTCACAAAAAAAAAAAAACATACACACACACACAAGTGACTAAAAGCGGGATAATAGCTGGTAAATGGTGGCAACCGTCACATCACCAATGCAAATGAACCAATTTTTCATAAACTATTCAAAATAGCAAGTCTAGCACATCATCAAGGGAGAACAAGGTCGATAAAAATTTGGAGCTCAGAATTTTCCACCTAGGGGGCTCGGGTTGGCGCACGGATACTCTCATTTATTGAAGCCCAAAAGCACCTGGCCCATGACACCATGGAGGTGCCCTGACCCGAGCCGACCTACGTGGGGATCGGGTCGGGTGGCACGACACTACCCGAACTCGACCCATAGCGGGCTCGGGTAGGGGAGCTCGGCACTACCCGAGCTCGGGTCCCAACCCGACTCGGTCCACCCTGGCCCGGTCAAAGTGGTGATCCAACCACCCCCCGATTTAGGGGGAGGCGGTTGGGGGGTTTGGCTTGTATAAAAATCCCCCTCCATGTCATAACAAAGGGCATTCTATTCTACGTTCTACGATTATTACACACTTTGTCCCGAGAAACATTGTAATAGCCAATTTACAGCATTTAATACAATATACGGTCTCACGGCCTTACGACATCGTTTCGTTTATTTATATATTATTGATATTACGTTCTTATCTGGATTTATTGATTCGGGTCCATCCCGAGTTAATTAAATCCATCAATTATATTATGGAGATTATGAATGGAAATTGATATTTTAAATTATTAGGGTTTAGGGTTTAGTGACCCTATCAATGGTAATAATTAATTATATTTTGTACATCTGAAATTTTAAATTATGGGGAATTTTACGGGGTTATATGCATGGGTGTGGAATGGTTTGTGCGTTTTATAGTTGGCCATGGTGTACACCTCCTATTATAGAAAACTGTACACGCCATTCCATACCCGCGCACACACCACTGTAAAATACCCCACAATTTAAAAAAAAAAAAAAAAACACAAGAAGCTAAATATTATATCTACTACGCACAGATTATCTACTCAAAATTCAAATGCAGATACCCAAATTAGATTCATATATTTTTGTTTTCTTTTAGATACGTTTCGCACACGCCCGAAACTAGTAACACACAAACCAAAATGTACATGCCTGTATCACGAAATGCACATACCAAAACTCATAATTTTATGAAAAAATCAGCACGCCATGGTGTACGAGCCCTGTTACAGTAAAAAGCACACACCATTCCAAAAATTTACGCACGCACGCAGGTAATATTTATGAGTTTCTCTCGCCATCAAAAAATTTATATATGCATTATACTATACATACTAAATGATCTGTGTTATTATACGTTGATAATAAATGGTTTTTTTTTTTTTTTTTTTTTCGTTCTTAATGAACTTGCATAGTTCCATATTTCTTGTAGGAAAATTAAATTTACTTATATGAAAAGATTTGTATGTAAATAAATGAAAATTATGAGTATTTAACGTACCAATACATTTCCATGGATAAGAGAGAGAAATATTGATTAAGAAGAGCTTAAATAACGCTATAAATCTTTATAAACATGGAAATAAATGAAATGGAAAGTAATAAATATGGTACTTAAGGACAAATATAGTGCTCAAGCACGAAATGATCAAAAGAGGAAGAATTCAAAGTATCGAAGATTCGAAGCGTCGAGCCCCCTGCTCGACGCGTCGAAAATTTCCAGTAGCTTCAAGGATTGCCAAGATTAGAGGCTGGACACGTCGAGATCGTGGAAAGCTGTTTTTTAGAACCTTCATAAATTGATGTCATTGGGTTGCTACTATAAAAATATCATCTTCCATCAACCCTAGGGTTCTTCTTTTCCCAGATTTTGGTGTTTTCTAAGGCAATCAAGAGCAAAGCACAAAGAGGACCAAATTGAAGATTTACAACTAGCTTTGGAATAGAGAACTAACTAGAAAGATTCAGGAGAACTCTTTCACTCTTTCTCTTGTTCCCTTTGTTATTGGTTTATCTTTAAACGTTGTAATGATTGTTATTATGGCATGAGTGGCTAAAACCCTTAGGGATTTTTGGGTGAATTTGTTTATGAACCTATGTGCCTAGTTCGTTAATTTCTTAATATATTTATGTTTGGTTTTATGATCTGTGTTGCAATCTTGTTTAAATCTGTTGTGGTAGGTAATTAGTCGCCACAGTTACTAGCTTCGTAGCCATGTTTGTGTCACCAATGGAAATTGGGGCATAAATTAGGGCACACACGATTGCACCTAATGGTTGGACCTTGGGAAAGAGGAATTTATTAGGGGAAGTTTATTCTATATTGTTGCTCATCGGGAGATGGTAGTAATTAGGAATAATTGAATGCTGACTACGAATAGAGATTACGGGAGTAATTCGATTCCACTTTGCATTCCCACACAAATCTTAATTCCAAACCAAATATTACAAACGTTAATTGGCACTAGGTGATTAAACATTGAGATCCAAAGAATCCTGTTTTGCTCTATTGTTTACAAAACCTTGTTATTTATTTTATTTTGCTTGTTATTTTCTGCGATTACCCAACCTTCAAGTTTCGTTCGGACTAGTTTCATATGAGTAACCTGGTAGCTAGTGCTTAGTACCCCATCTCCCTGTGGTTCGACAACCCGAATACTCCGGGTATTATTTGTTTGCCCGAAATTACCGCAATCAAATTGGCGCCGTTGCCGGGGAGGTGGCGCTACGTACTGACATTAGCGAAAGTCTTACTTTACGAGTCTAGTCTATTTTATTTTTACTTTATTTTTATTTTCGCTAACCGATAACGAGTTTCTTGTGTTGTGTTGTGTTTCTGTTATCAGTAGTCTTGGTGTTGTATGCGAACTCGCTCTTCGGGGAATGAAGGATTAGAACCTTTTAACCCGGAGATCGAAAAGCAGGCCAAGTTCTTAAGAAAACAGGTCAGGATGGCGCAAGGAGAAAATCAGAACGATTTGGCTCTTAATGGAGAGGGAGTCAATCAACCACTACACATTGGGAGGCCCATTTCAGACTACATTGCTCCAGATGTAGCAGAACATGGAAGTATTAATGTGTCAGGGGTTGATGTTAATAATTTTGAAATTAAACCAGCTATTATTCAGATGGCTGCTTCAGATCCTTTTGGTGGGTCACCAACAGAAGACCCTAATGCTCACATTGCAAAATTTCTGAGGATCTACAGTACTTTCAAAATTAATGGAGTCCCGGGCGATGCTATCAAGCTTCGCCTCTTTCCATTCACTGTAAGAGATAAAGCTAACAGTTGGCTTGCCTCTTATCCGGTGAACCATTTTGAAACTTGGGATCAGTTGCACAAAGAGTTCCTTAAGAGATTTTATCCCATATCTATGACTCAGAAAATGAGGTGATCAATTCAGAATTTCAGACAGTTAACTAGTGAGTCTTTGACAGAGTCATGGGAGAGATTCAAAGAGATGAGGAGACAATGCCCTCATCATGGTATTAAGAGTTGGGACTTAATGCTGGCTTTCTATGAGGGATTATTGGATAATTCAACAATCCTAGTTGATGCTTCATCGGGGGATCATTTACAGTCCTAGAGCTAGATCAAACTGAAGAACTATTGGAAAAGATTGCGATGAATGGGACAACTTGGTACTCAGAGAGATCTTCCCAGAAATTGGTGGGAGGTGTGAATGAAGTTGATCAAATATCAACTCTATCAGCTAAGTTTGATAATGTGGCCACTTTAGTTCAATAGTTGGCTCAGATTGCTATCAAGAATCAAGCTCTAGGTAATGTTTCTACATCTTCTACTCCTCCAAGACCTATAATGATGTGTGAACTTTGTGGAGGAGAGCACAATTCAGAGGAGAGTCTCAGTGTTGATTCTCAAGCCACAATGGAACAAGGTGATGTGATAGGGTATGGTAGTATACAACCGACATTCCAACAACGAGGACCCTACAATCCAAATGCACCAAGGAACCATCCTGGTTTCTCTTGGAGTAATTCAGTTGAGGCAGTTTGTAACACCCTGTGTTACGACCTTCAATCCCGGATTAATTATTTAATTAATCCCGTTAATAATAATTAAATATGATTTAATTAATTAATAAGGTCCACCATGAACCGTGGACCCTTGCCTAAATTAGAGTCCTAAGCTATTAGGAATAAAGAATGTGAACCTTTTACTATTCGGATTCTAACTAGGAATCCTAGACCTAGTTATCTATTAGGAATAAAGGAAGTAGGCCCTTTTACTATTCAGATTATGATTAGGAATCTCTTTAATTAATTAATATGGTCCACTATGGACCATGGACCCTTATCCCTAAAACAAGCCCTTAATCCTATAAGGAATATGATTAGTAAACCCATACCATTCAGGCCCTAATTAGGAGTCTTAAATATATAAATAGGGATATAGGAGGCACCTAGATCTTTCACCACAATAATCTCTCACCACACAAGAAGTTCCAAGAATTCCCTTAGGAGAAATCAAGAAAGAAGAAAGCTTAAAGAAAGACCCTTCATAGCCAAGGAATTAATTAAGGCTAAGAGGTAACCCATGTCTCAACAAAACCTATTTTCATAGCTATGATTCCCCCTTAGGATTTCCCCCATGTTATTGTGTATTGATGATTTATGATATTATTATTGATGATTGGGATGAGGATTCCATGGGTGATCTTGAGGTTCTTGATAATTGTGATGTTCTTCATAATTATGGTGTTCTTGATAATTATGGTGTTCTTGATGATTGTGTGGCGTTCTTGATGAGTATATGATGATCTTGTTGATTATGTGTTATCCTTGATAATTGTATGATGTTCTTGATGTTTATTTGATATTATACCAAATCTTGATATTAAGAGATGAATGGTGTTCTTGTGAACCTAAAAGTGATTCGAACCCTAGGTTGAATCGTATGATATTATTCTCAGTATATTGGGCAGAATTCGCATGTTTGGGTGTTAATTATGTTTAGAAAAGCATGATAGGGTATGTGCCGTATGTTTCCTGATTGTGATCCGCTAAATGTCTACGTATTGTCGTTAATTGGGTTTGAAAGTGTCTAAGCATGGTTCCGGGTTCCACAAAGGTTCCCGGGACGTTTTGTGATGAAAAAGAGTAAGTGGGGGGTAGGTGGGGGTAGGGGACCCGCCACCTACCCGCGGCTAATTGTGGCATCGCCGGCAGTGGGCAGCCCGCGGGCGGGCAGTGGCCCGCCGGGCACCCGCTGCCCGGAAAGCCGGCGGGTGACCCCTCATCCACCGGCTACCCGCTGGATTTTACCCCACCTTGGGTTTTGGCTTCCCCGTTTGATGTTCCCCCGACCCCCGTGGTGTCCGAACGGACTCCGTCTATCGTGCCAGTGTCTAGTTTGATATTTCGGGTACCGTTCGTAGGTTTATGAGTCTTATATATTGCATGCTAGTTGAATTGGTATCCCGTTGACCTCGGTGGAGGAAGTATGAACCCCTTAGGATTATTCTTAGTATGTGAAGGATCACGCATAGTTTTGTTATACGTTTTCCCCCTCTTCCCAATGTGTAATGTGGGTTGCGTGTTCTTGCTATGTGTTATGTGTGCATGATACCCCAATTCGGTTGCGATCGGATTGGATATTCCTGAGCTGCGGTTCAGAAGCTTGCTGTGGTCAGATTTACACTCTTGGGCTACGGTCCACCGTTTGGTTGCGATCAAACGTTTCTTCATGAGCTGCGGTTCATATTTCCTGGCTGCGGTCAGATGACATTCTCTTGGGCTGCGTTCCACTATTTGGTTGCGATCAAACATTATGATGAGCTGCGGTTCATCGGTCGGTTGCGATCGACCCCTCCGTGTTGCGATACGGGGCAGGGTGCTGCGGGGCCGTGTCAGAGCTATATGCGCTGACCCTCGTGTATGGGCATGCGATTGGTCCTGTGGTGCCAACAAAGTGTGCTTGTGTGATGAGATATGGGTGTGTTGTGTTTATGAGTATCTTGGGGATGTAACTACGGGATTCATGTTGGGGATTGTATATGTTGGGTTATGATCATTAATTGTGCTCAGCTTTATCTGCCTTGCCTGTTGTGAACTGTATATGTTTGTTATAACTGTTACCTGTGCTTAGCTCTATCTGTCGAGTCTATCCCTGTTTTAAAAGCTAGAGTTTCGTAGGATATATCTTCATGCTCAAAATGGTTTTCGTATATCTATATATATATCTCTATATGTATTGTATTTCAACGCGTTGGAGTGGGTTACTAGCATCTCTCGCTGAACAGATATATTTGGCTTTCAGGCACTGATGAGTAGACACTGGAGCGCGCTAGAGATTCGAGGCGTAGTGTATATAGTTTCCCATTCGGCCTGCGTGCCATTTACATTATTACGGAATTTAGTTAGTTAGCCAATGCATCTGAGTTCTCCATCTCAGGTGTGGCATAGCACCCCGTACCCTTATGTTTAACAATGCTCTGTTTGAGATTTAATAAGAGTATACCTTTCTTATATAAGTCTTTAAAAGTTTTAAAATTCCGGGGTGTTAAAGTTGGTATCAGAGCCTAAGTTTGACCCTAGGATAAGACTCTTAAGACCAGACCTTAGGACATTAGGCTTGAACTCTAGGTACTTAGGAACATAGGATTCAGAAATCTTCGAACGCGCGGTGAGATTGTGAAACCTACACATAACCTCCCCTCACTTTATCCCTCTCTAACTTAAAAGAACTCCCCCTACGCTTACCACAGCAAGGTAAGGGTGCAGCACACTAACTCATCATTATAATAAACATTGGCCCTGAAAACCAGCAACATGGCACCAACGAAAAGACAGTCAAGGATACCACACTCCTCGCAGTACAAATCCGAACTTTCAACAAAATCCTCGGGTAAGTGGAATGCCCAGAGGAACCGGGTAGAGATAGCCCCATTCTAAGACACGAGGCTGATCTTTAATAGATCCACGAAGAACCCACTTATGGGCAACAACCGGGGGTTCAACTAGGAGTGCCTAGGAGCACGACTACGAGGACGATTCCACCCCGCACCCGCATGGGAAACCATGTACGAGAAAATCCTCCACCTAAAACAAGGGATGGCCACCACCAGGGAATACCACAAACAATTCCTCCAGCTGGCTCGTTTCGCGCCTGAATTAGACCTTACAGAGACAACCAAGATAAAGAAGTCTGTGACAGACCTCAAACTGCGAAACCCAGAAGGCCCTAATTGTAAGCATACCCCGAACACCCAACAAAGCCTACACCAGTGATGCCAACTTCTACAAATGGGGAATTCAGGAACAAACCCGAGAGAAGAAGTAACAGAAGTGGGAGACCGGTCCCTCCAGCGTGAGCGAACCCTTTCGGAACTGGTTACGAATGGGCGCAACTATCCCAGCCCGGAGACTGGGAACACCAATTAAATGCAAGAAAATAAAGTACTACATCAACGACACCTTTTCTTAATCGTTAGCGCGAATTATCGAAAAGGGCTCGATCTGACAAAGAGAGGCAACAGACGCATGGAAAGTATCACACAACTAGAGCCTCCCAGCAATAAGGATCTTACCTTGGAACAAGGACCTTGATGGTTTTAAGACACCATAAGAAGTACGTGAGACACACAAATCGCCAAAACACCATGCGACGTCGAGGACAGTCAACCAAGTGCATTCCAAGGAAGGGAAATGCATCACCAAGCACTTGGTCACTAAAAGATTGAACAAAGAACGAGTGACAAGCCGAACTCCAAGAAAAACTAAGAAGTCTTATCATTAATCAAGAAAGGAAAAGACAAAGTTGGCTTATAACCAACTACCCGGTGACGAGGTTGCTAATTGGAAACCGGACCCGACCTACAGAGCGGAAAGAACATGCGAGAGGCTCGACTCATCTATAACTTGTACTTAAGGATCAATGAAACCATACAATGGGTCATCCGATGTATCCAAGTCCCTTTTATTGTGCACATGGGCATGGGGCTTGTCGGGACTTGAATCTGTGCATTCTTGGGATTTTTCCCGAAAGAATTCACTCTTTCTAGTCACCTTCCCGCGGGTCCCCAACGGGACCTTGACGGGACCCTGACAGGAGCTTGGCAGGCGGATGACCGCCCACCTCGCGCCCACTGGTACAATGTGCCGATTTCTTAACCATTCATTTTATTGATTTGTGGCGCACTTGATGCCTCGATTGATGAATATGAGTCTTCGGTAAGGAACCATGGGCCACCCAAACATGGTGTCCTACGTAAAAAACCTTGACGCACGAGACACCATGGGAAAATCACAATCAATTGCATTACACGAGTAATTGAAGTTGGATTCTACGATACAACCGACTAGGGATGCTTGGCGTAATGGATTGTGCAAACCAAGGATGCGAGTTGGGAACTCGTGCTAAGAACCCACGAAGACCTTAAAAGTCAAAATGCTAAGGATGGACCGGGACTCCTCCAAACCATGGATATCGTTCGAGCAAATCAGAGGACTCCTTACAAGTTGTATGGAATCAAGAACTATGTAGTCCATGGTGCTAAGAAAAAAGGTAAAGAGCACATTTGTGCCAAGACTTCAAGGGTCATTAAGGACGCACAAGGAAATGAGATGACTCGTAAAGTCACCGAGTCATCCCACAACGAGATTAGGTAACCAACTGCGCTTCAAGAAGGAAAGGAGCATGCAAGGACACCTTCATCATTAAAAGTAACACAAAAGGGCACAACAAGCCGAACCTCGGGTAAGACATGAAGTCTTACTAAGAATTTCATCCACTAAAGAGGAGATGAAATTCAATAAGAAGAGAAAGTCAACCCAAAGTCCATCGACTCTCAAAAGACTTTGGGAAGAATTTGGAAAGTGCGCCCAAAAAGATTGGCTTGGTTGACCCAACTTGGTCAAGACCTTGGACGCATTAAAGAAGTAAGTGTTAAATCACCACGGGAAATTCCCTCAAGATAGAAGAGAAGGATGAAACCTTAGCCTGGGAAGCAAGGTCTAACAAGGATCTTAAAGTCAAGCAAGTGCCAACACCAAGGAAGGAGGATCATCAGCTCGTCGACGCATCATGATCAAAGCATCAAACCAGATTAATCACTTGAGATCGAGAATCCTTAACCCGTCCTAGCCGAATTCCTTTCCCTCCCTCGGAAAATCGGCCCCCTCCTTATTTCAAAACCCTTTCTACCCTTCAAACCCCATTCTTGATTCCACGTTTTAACGATTCCACACAAGGTGGCAACCTCACAACCTAAGTTGCAACCTTGAAAACCTTGATCCTAATTCCTGAATTCACTTTGTCCTCAAGTTGAAACCCACTCACTTAGTCTTGTAAACCTAATCGTTCCCAAAAGCCCAACACACATAGACATACAATTATACAGTTTCCCCGTAGAATACCTTCTCTATAGGACCACCGTTCTACACTTGACTCGTTACCCCTGCAATGATTTCTAAGCTTCGGGGACGAAGCTTCTCGTAAGGGGGGGAGAGTGCAACACCCCGTGTTACGACCTTCAATCCCGGATTAATTATTTAATTAATCCCATTAATAATAATTAAATATGATTTAATTAATTAATAAGGTCCACCATGAACCGTGGACCCTTGCCTAAATTAGAGTCCTAAGCTATTAGGAATAAAGAATGTGAACCTTTTACTATTCGGATTCTAACTAGGAATCCTAGACCTAGTTATCTATTAGGATTAAAGGAAGTAGGCCTTTTACTATTCAGATTATGATTAGGAATCTCTTTAATTAATTAATATTGTCCACTATGGACCATGGACCCTTATCCCTAAAACAAGCCCTTAATCCTATAAGGAATATGATTAGTAAACCCATACCATTCAGGCCCTAATTAGGAGTCTTAAATATATAAATAGGGATATAGGAGGCACCTAGATCTTTCACCACAATAATCTCTCACCACACAAGAAGTTCCAAGAATTCCCTTAGGAGAAATCAAGAAAGAAGAAAGCTTAAAGAAAGACCCTTCATAGCCAAGGAATTAATTAAGGCTAAGAGGTAACCCATGTCTCAACAAAACCTATTTTCAGAGCTATGATTCCCCCTTAGGATTTCCCACATGTTATTGTGTATTGATGATTTATGATATTATTATTGATGATTGGGATGAGGATTCTATGGGTGATCTTGAGGTTCTTGATAATTGTGATGTTATTGATAATTATTGTGTTCTTGATAATTATGGTGTTCTTGATGATTGTGTGGCGTTCTTGATGAGTATATGATAATCTTGTTGATTATGTTTTATTTTTGATAATTGTGATGTTCTTTATGTTTATGTGATATTCTACCGAATCTTGATATTAAGAGATGAATGGTGTTCTTGTTAACCTAAAAGTGATTAGAACCCTAGGTTGTATCATATGATATTATTCTCGGTATATTGGGCGGGAATTCGCATGTTTGGGTGTTAATTATGTTTAGAAAAGCATGATAGGGTATGTGCCGTATGTTTCCAGATTGTGATCCGCTAAATGTCTACGTATTGTCGTTAATTGCGTTTGAAAGTATCTAAGCATGGTTCCGGGTTCCACAAAGGTTCCCGGGACGTTTTGTGATTAAAAAGAGTAATTGGGGGGTAGGGGACCCGCCACCTACCCGCGGCTAATTGTGGCATCGCCGGTAGCGGGCAGGCGGCTAGCGGGCAGCCGGCTGGCGGGCAGCTGCCCGCCGGGCACCCGCTGCCCGGAAAGTTTACCGCCGGCGGGTGACCCCTCACCCACCGGCTTCCCACTGGCTTGTACCCCACCTTGGGTTTTGGCTTCCCCGTTTGATGTTCCCCCGACCCCCGTGGTGTCCCAACAGACTCCGTCTATCGTGCCTGTGTCTAGTTTGATATTTCGGGTAACGTTCGTAGGTTTATGAGTCTTATATATTGCATGCTAGTTGAATTGGTATCCCGTTGACCTAGGTGGAGGAAGTATGAACCCCTTAGGATTATTCTTAGTGTGTGAAGGATCACGCATAGGTTTTGTTATACGTTTTCCCCCCCTTCCCAATGTGTAATGTGGGTTGCATGTGCTTGCTCTGTGTTATGTGTGTATGATACCCCAATTCGGTTGCGATCGGATTGGTTATTCCTGAGCTGCGGTTCGGAAGCTGGCTGCGGTCAGATTTACACTCTTGGGCTGCGGTCCACCGTTTCATTGCGATCAAACGTTTCTACATGAGCTGCGGTTCATATTTCTTGGCTGCAGTCAGATGACATTCTCTTGGTCTGCGGTCCACTGTTTGGTTGCGATCAAACATTATGATGAGCTGCGGTTCATCGGTCGGTTGCGATCGACCCCTCCGTGTTGCGATACGGGGCAGGGTGCTGCGGGGCCGTGTCAGAGCTATATGCGCTGACCGTCATGTATGGGCATGCGATTGGTCCTGTGGCGCCAACAAAGTGTGCTTGTGTGATGAGATATGGGTGTGTTTTGTTTATGAGTATCTTGGGGATGTAACTACAGGATTCATGTTGGGGATTGTATATGTTGGGTTATGATCATTAATTGTGCTCAGCTTTATCTGCCTTGCCTATTGTGAACTGTATATGTTTGTTATAATTGTTGCATGTGCTTAGCTCTATCTGTCGAGTCTATCCCTGTTTTAAAAGCTAGAGTTTCGTAGGATATATCTTCATGCTCAAAATTGTTTTTCGTATATCTATATATATATCTCTATGTGTATTGTATTTCAACGCGTTGGAGTGGGTTACCAGCATCTCTCGCTGAACAGATATATTTGGCTTTCAGGCACTGATGAGTAGACACCGGAGCGCGCTAGAGATTCGAGGCGTAGTGTAGATAGTTTCCCTTTCGGCCTGCGTGCCATTTACATTATTACGGAATTTAGTTAGTTAGCCTGTGCATCTGATTTCTCTAGCTCAGGTGTGGCATAGCACCCTGTACCCTTATGTTTAACAATGCTTTGTTTGGGATTTAATAAGAGTATACCTTTCTTATATAAGTCTTTAAAAGTTTTAAAATTCCGGGGTGTTACACAGTTAATCCCCAACACTTGAATAGTAGAAGTCAACCACCAGGATTTCTGGGACAACAAAATTTTAGAGGATGTCCTCCACAACAATTCAGGTAAAACCAAGGATATCAAGCTCCAGTAAATCAATCCAAGCCTAATGTGGAAGCACCGTCCCGTCGAATATGGATTTATTGTTGGAAAAATTGATTAAATGTTAGAGATTACAGAGAGGATGGATCAGATGAATGCTTGCCAAAATATGGTTGAAAATCAGTTAGCAAATCAACCTTCGACATGGAGTACTAAAGTCACAGGGAAGTTGCCATATATGACCGGAAATCCAAGAGAACACATGAATAATGTCACTACTAGGAGTGGAAAGTAATTACTGGACCCACCATATCCTCACCGGGAACAAATTGTCAAGGGGAATCTAGAAGGTGAGAATGAGAAACTGAATGAGGATGTTATTGCCCAAGATAAGGAAGATGAGATACAAGAAATTGAACCCGTAAAGAAGCATACACCACCTCTACCCTTCCCACAAAAATTTCAGAAATCTAGGGAAGAGGAAAGAAGAGCAAAATTCTTCAGTTTGATTAAGCAACTGGATATCACCATTCCTTTGCTGGATGTAGTAACTGAGATTCCTTCGTATGCTAAGTTTTTAAAAGAGATTTTATCCAACAAGAGCAGAGCTGATGATCGTGAGACAATAGCAGTAAGTGAAGAATGTAGTGCTTTAATTCAAAATAAGCTTCTTCCAAAGCTTAGGGATCATGGGAGTTTCTCTATCCCATGTGTTATTGGAGGATCACTTGTTCAAAGAGCTTTATGTGATTTAGGGGCAAGTGTGAGTTTGATGCCCTATTCTTTGTGTCAAAAGCTGCAACTTGGAGAGCCAAAACCTACATCCATGACTCTTCAGTTGGCAGACAGATCAGTGAAATATCCTATTGGAATTCGGGAAGATGTGTCAGTAAAGATTGACAAATTTTACATTCCGGGAGACTTTGTCACTATTAGAGATGGAAGAAGATGCTAAAATTCCTATTATCCTTGAAATGGGAGACCATTCTTGGCAACTGCTGGAGCTGTAATCAATGTAAAAAAAAAAAGAACCTTAGTTCTTGAAATTGGAGAAGATAAAGTTGAATTTAATGTTTTCGAATTGGATAACAAATCTTCTTGTCTTAATTCTTGTTTTTATGTAGATGAAATCGACTCTTGTGTTGCAGCTTATGAGAGGGGTAAATGGATCTCTAATGATCCTTTACAACTCGAAAGTGAAGATACTACAGAGATTGAATACTTGGGTGATGGTACGAATGGTGAGGAATCATAAGAATTGCCACTAATATCCGTTGCCTGTAACCTCGAGGAAAAGGAACCACCACAGGTAGAATTAAAACCTTTACCAATAAATTTGAGGTATGCTTAACTTAGTCCAAATTCTACCTACCCAGTGATTGTCAGTGCTCATTTGAAAGATGATGAAACTGAGAAATTATTAATTGTGTTAAGAAAACATAAGAAAATCATTGGGTACAATATTGATGATATTGTTGGAATTAGTGCTTCTTACTGCATGCACATGATTAAGTTAGAGGATGAGCATAGACCCAGTGTTGAGCACCAACGTAGGTTAAATCGTACAATGTAGGAGGTTGTGAAGAAAGAGATCTTAAAATTGTTGAAAGCTGGCATCATTTATCCTGTTCCTGACAGTAAGTGGGTAAGTCATATTCACATGGTCCCAAAGAAAGGGGGGACAACTGTGGTCCGCAATGAGAAGAATGAGCTCATTCCTACCAGGTTAGTCACTGGGTGGAGGATGTGCACGGACTACAGAAAGTTGAACGATGCCACCGGGAAGGATCATTTTCCTCTTCCGTTTGTTGATCAGTTGATTGAAAGGATGAATAAGTACGATTACTTTTGCTTTGTTGATTGTTTTTCGGGGTTCTTTCAGATCCCTATCCACCCCGATGACCAAGAGATGACTACTTTTACATGCCCCTATGGTACCTTTGCATATCGAAGGATGTCATTTGGGTTATGTAATGCACCGGTTACATTTCAAAGGTGCATGTTAGCCATTTTTTCTGATTTAGTTGAGAAGACTATGGAAGTATTCATGGATGATTTTTCTGTATATGGTTCTTCTTTTGATAATTGCGTTGATAATTTGGACGAGGCATTGGGAACGTGTCAAGAAGCAAACCTTGTTTTAAATTGGGAAAAGTGTCACTTTATGGTACAACAAGGGATTGTTCTTGGACACAAGATATCAGAAAAGGGCATTGAGGTTGACTCGGCCAAGGTGGAAGTCATAGAGAAACTACCACCACCTATTTCAGTAAAGGGAATAAGGAGTTTTCTTAGCCATGCAAGGTTTTACAAGAGATTTATCAAAGACTTTTCAAAAATCTCTAAACCTTTAACTCAATTGCTTCTAAAAAATGCTAACTATGTTTTTGATGATGCTTGGCTTGAAGCTTTCTGCAGATTGAAGAAGGAATTGACAACAGCTCCCATAATGTCACCGCCAGATTGGAGCTTGCCATTTGAGATTATGTGCGATGCTAGTGACTATGTTGTAGGGGCCGTCCTTTGTCAAAAGAAGGGCAAGTGCTTACAGCCAATTTACTATGCAAGTCGTACCCTTGATGATGCTCAAGTTAACTACGCCACAACACAGAAAGAGATGTTGGGTGTAGTTTTTGCTATTGATAAGTTCCGGTCTTATCTGAATGGATACAGTGTAATTGTTCATACCGATCACTTAGCATTGAAGTACTTGATGAGCAAAAATGAATCCAAACCAAGATTGATGAGGTGGACTCTTCTGCTTCAAGAGTTTGACTTGGAAATCATAGACAAAAAGGGGACAGGAAATCTTGTAGCTGATCATTTGTCCCAATTAGAGAACCAAAACGAAGTGGTTGAAGGAGAAAAGATTCCAATCAATGATTACTTCGTGGGAGAGCAATTGATGGCTCTTCATGCTTTTATGCCCTGGTATTCAGATTTTGTGAATTATGTGGTTTGCCAAAAATTCCCACCAAATGCTTCTAGATCATTGAAGAAGAAATTACAAACTGATGCAAAATTCTATATTTGGGATGAATCGTTTCTATACAAGAGGTGTGTAGATGGAATATTAAGAAGATGCTTACCCGAGATGAGATAGAAAGTCTCTTAACCCATTGCCACTCATCACCTTATGGAGGGCATTTTTGACCTTCTCGAACTACAAAAAAGGTTTTGCAGTCAGGATTTTATTGGCCCAGTATATTCAAAGATGCACATTCTTTCGTGGCTCATTGTGATAAATGCCAAAGAGTGGGCATAGTGGAGTTCATCACAGACTCTCTACCCCTTACCATCCCCAAGCCAATGGGTAAGTGGAATTGTCAAACCGAGAAATCAAGTCCATTCTTGAGAAGGTGGTCAATACGTCTCGAAAAGATTGGTCCAAAAAGCTAGATGATGCATTATGGGCATATAGGACCGCTTACAAGAATCCTATTGGAACTTCACCTTTCAGACTTGTTTATGGGAAGCCTTGTAACACCCCCCAAACACGACCTAAAGAAAATGCCGTAACACCTGCAGATCATACAACAAAAACTAGCACAGCGGAAGATAAAACGAAAACTGGATAAAAGAAATCCAAACGTGGAGTTATGCCACGTCTACCAAACCTGGTAAACGCAACGGCAGTCAATCTGCAAGTGTATACATCTATCCCAAAAAGGTAACAATCTCAAACTACGACGTCACACAGGCCACAAAACAAAGGTAAAGATATTAGACTACCGGCTTCTAAACATCGCGCTCGTCTAGACATCACCTGAAAGATACAAAGATAAACATTGGGACGACGCTCGGTCAGCGATAATGCTGGTAACCCACCAATACCTGTTAAGTATCATACATAGGTAGAGTATATATACAAAAACATTTTGAAACGGAATACATATATATAACTTCAAAACCAAGAGTAAACACCAACTCAAGACTCACCACTCATCAACAAACACAATGGGAACACATCCCAAGACCACAACGGATCACGACAACACAAGGATAAAGACACGACAAACGGCAACACATGCCTAAGCAACACATGCCTTTGTGACTGCACACGTCACAAGAGAGAACACACAACCACGGCTACACAAACCCTCGTGACATCACCCGCCACGAGTTGATATGCATTCCTTATGCCCTGTCCCAACCTTATGGCAACCCCCAACCTTATATCTTGTTCCAACCTTTACCTCCAGGACCCCTATACATACAGTCCAACCTTATTCCCCCGGGAATCGTCATTCCCCCTCCAACAGACCTCCAACAAGATCACCAATTTCATAGTACACGAGGTACCGATCACGCACACGGCGACACACGCCTTCCTAAGAAATACGTGAACCTGACACACAGGTCACAACTCCATATTCACGCCACGCCCACCACGAGGACCGCTGCAATACCTTGGTGACTAGTGTCCCATACCACTAATCGTGCAATCCAGGTAAAGCCACACACGCACCACAACTCAACAAGAGTCAACCAACGGATCTCAACGAAGGTATGAATCATACTCGATTAAGGAATGGGTCACAGCCCAACAACAACAACGATGAATAACACAAGTTATCATCAACCAAACGGAAGGTACAAACAACACACACGCTAGCATTTATATAACAAACTGGCATGCTTATCAAGGGGGAAACTCAAGATAGTTCCGAGGAACACACAAGACACCTCACGGTCCAACGAAACACAATGTTAAACACTTAGCACGATTCAAGACACCAAAGACCTACATGGATACCTATCATATAGTTCTAGACATACGAAACATCAAGAAGACACTCAAATAGTTCCACAAAAGAACATCGGGAAGTCAAAAGACCAAATACCGAGTCAAAAGAATCACGGGGAACAAATCCCTTAACAACTCCACTGTGTTCCCCGCGGGTGGACCCACGGGTAGGCCCCTAACCGTGGTTCTGCCCGCGGGTACACTACCCACAAGCCTATGTACCCGCGGGTGGGCGGCGGGTAGGGATCTCCCCGCCGTTCCGCCCGCGGGTACATACTCTTGTGCAAAACAATCCCTTCGGGGATTTTCTTCTCCAAACACAAATTCAAGTCCAAAACATGCCAAATCTCACCCAATACAAAAAAAATGACTTGAATCATAGGAAATGCCAAGCAATGGCACAAATGAACCCTAAACACAAGCTCTAGATATGTATTTTCACAAGACAAATGCATAAACACTCACATTTCATAGCAAAACACAAGTAGAATCTAAGAAATCACATATAGGTAAGCAAAATAGGTTTTAGTAGAGCATGGGTTACCTCTTGTAGACCAAAAGACTTCACTTTACCCTCAACAAGCTCTTTACAAGGCTTACTTCCCAAACCCACTTCAAGATCAAACCAAAAGATCATAAAGATCATACTTTTAAGAAAAAGACAACTAAGATGGAACCAAAAAGACAACATAGACTTAGATCTTACCCTCCTAGATGCCCAAATAGGTGAAAGGTTGAATCTTGGAAGAAAATCTTGGAATCTTGACAAGGGTCTCAACTTAGCTTGGAGAATAAGCTACACTTCTTTTCTAGAGAGAAGGTATAGCTAATTTCTAAGAATTGTAAGGAATGAAATGAAGAAGTCTTCTAGGTTAGGTTACAATACAAACTCTTGGCGGAAAGTGAAGAATACACTTACTAAGCTTTAGAAAGTGTAAGGAACATGGGAACTCCCCTCAAAGCTCAAAGTACAATACAACTTTAAGGTTGACTAGTCAAATTCTAGTCCTTGAGTATTAAAAATCAGGATTTTAGGAATTAATTCCTCAAATAAAATAGGATTAATTACTCAATTAATCCATGGACGGAATGTGGATTTTTGGGGTGTCACATCCTCTCCCGCTTCAAAGAAGCTTCATCCCCGAAGCTTGGGTACGACGAATTAGAAACAAACGGTGATAGGAAACAACATTGTGATAAGAGGTTCAAGAATGAATCCTTTGGTCAAGACTCAAAAGATTCTACAAGGATTGTCAAACAAAAGAAAGGCATAACAATGCAAGAGTTGTCAAGAACATAATCAAAGAAGTAGATTGAGCATCACAAACTCTATTCGTAACACCAAACACCACTACCACAACAAAGCTAACTAAGCCACAAGGCTACAAACAAAACAAGCACAGAAGCAACAACAAGCAACCAAACAACGGCGACAACGTGGGTAAAAAAAAAAAACCAACAACAAGGAAAAGGCGCACAAGGTAACCACAACTACTAGAAAGACTCACTCTCCGACTCCTTGGACTCTTCCTCGGCTCCTCCTCTACGACTCGAGCTGGCTTCGATCTGATCCAACCGATGATGCACAGCAATAAACTGCATCCTCATGAAGGCAAATCCCTCCTCTATCATGCGGTTCTGCTGACGAAGCAAGGCAACAACACGCTCTTCGTGCGACGTCGGGTTGTGCTCCCTCTTGGTGCGAGCTTCCCTTCTTCGTTGGTTCTCTTCACTCTCCGAGTCGCTTTCTTCAGCTTCAACGACATATGGCACTCCCACCTCTTCCTCATCTTCGGCTTCATCCTCGGCTCCTTCGTCACCTCCCAAGCTCTGAACAACGAGGCTCAACTTCCCGGCATGGATTCCAAGCTCCACTGCTAACTCCGCCCGTACATCAGGTGCTTTTCTCGCCACTTCTTCAAGCGTGATGTACTCACCATCATCCAACTGGAACAGGTGACAACTCTGAAGTTTGGTGGCATCCAACACTAGCTTTCCCACAGCCTTAGGAAGACAACCATCCACACTGACGCCCTTCTTAACTAAAATCCAGCTCAACACCATCCCATAAGGCAAACTCTTCCGATTGTGATCCCGGCAAAACACCTTGTGTTGCAGCATCAAAGAAGGCAAGTTGAACTTAACCATATTCTTCAGACAGAAAGCAAAAGTGCACTCCAGCTTTCCCAACAACTTGCACTTGTTATTGTTTGGGAACAAACAGTCCGACACCAACATCACCATGATCCTTTGCTCCGCAGACAACCACTTCTTCTCCGGTCTAGAGGCTTGAGTGAAACAACTCGTACGGCCTTACAAGTAGCTCAAGTAGTCACGATACCCCATGGTATCCGTACTAATCCAAGAATGACCACTGTGCTGAGCCACTCCGGTAGTAGACAAACTCAACAACTGAGCCAACCTCTTCTTAGAAAGTGGGGTTTAGGGTGCTCACAGGTAGAGAGGAAGGAAAAGAAGAAGGAGAGAAAATTTTGGGATTTAGGGATTTGGGAGAAATTGGGAAAAAAGATGATTAAATTTGGGGATTTTGGGTAGAGTGAAAATTTATGGTTCAGATTGAATTAAAATTGGATAGGTTCCAAGAAAGACGTACAATTAGTTGAAGTGGTTTAGAAGTTGGGTAGAAAAGTAATAGGCTTGGGTTTAAAACTCAAAGGTTACAATTAGACATTACGCTTGATTTTTAGAACGTACAAGAATGAATTTTGGCAAGAATTTTGCTATTTCCAAATTCAAAGAATACTTGGAAAATTTAGGAAGTACACAAGGAATTGTTGTAAGAACAACCAAGTGTAGGGACTGTAGAATTGATCTAGGCACAAAACATTCCAAAGATAGATGGCTACTACACAACAAGACTTAGATGCCAACCAAAGAAATCACATAGCAAGAAAAAGAGTTTACACTAAGCTCCAAAAAGAATTACCTTCAAGGAAAGCATGCCAAAGATTACCAAGCAAAGATACTAGACTACCGGCTTCTAAACATCGCGCTCGTCTAGACGTCACCTGAAAGATACAAAGATAAACATTGGGACGACGCCCGGTCAGCGATAATGCTGGTAACCCACCAATACCTGTTAAGTATCATACATAGGTAGAGTATATATACAAAAACATTTCGAAACGGAATACATATATATAAGTTAAAAACCAAGAGTAAACACCAACTGAAGACTCACCACTCATCAACAAACACCACAGGAACACATCCCAAAACCACAACGGATAACGACAACACAAGGATAAAGACACGACAAACGACAACACATGCCTAGGCAACACATGCCTTTGTGACTACACACGTCACAAGAGAGAACACACAACCATGGCTAC